AAAAAAAAAAAAAAACACGTCAACTGCTCGAGCGACCGATTCGTCGAACGCGATCGATTTCAGAACCGGTGGCAGCAAGGTCGCCGCGGTTAACGTCGGACGATCTTAGCCGTACGATCAGACGGTCCGAGGGCCAGCCTATCTCCATTTTCTGCGCCGCGCAGGGAAGCCCTGTGCCCACCACTAGGTAAAGAATTTTCGATTCAATTTCCCCAGCCGTGAAAACTGTCGGGCGGTGGTCGGTTGAATTAGTTATCGGCTACTGGTTGCTCGGCTACGCGTTTCTGCACCGTTGTTCGATATCGACGAACCCGAGTCGAGCGTGTGTTGGAATAATCGAGCGTCAATGTTGTTTAGAACCTGTCGGGAGCAAGGTGCCAGCCTTTGCCGGGGATCAGAAACTGTCACTGTTGGTACGACGAGTAAACACGGACGTTAGTCTTCCGTGCAATGCTCAGGGCCATCCGATTCCTGTCTATAGGTGAATATAGAAAACTATGGGTGACTTGGATCGAACGTACGCGCTTTTGTTTCTTTCTTTCCTTTTCCCTTTCTCCTTTCCCTCTGGCTCGGCTAAGGAGCCGTGGCATGAGAAGCAATCGATGAGAAAGGAAGAAAAAGAGAGAAAAAAAGGGGGAACCCTGTCCGAGGGACTCGGGAACATCGGCTAGAGAAATTTTAATGGCATTCCGCGTGACTTCGTTATTTCCCTTGCTTAGAGCCGATGGGGATCAAAGCACCCGCTTTTCTGGGGGACGTTAAATCGTTCTTCTTCCTTCGCAAAGAGGGCTCGGAAGTGAGCATGCCGTGCAATGCCCAGGGGCATCCTGTTCCCATAACCAGGTACTAAATTACCCATTGAAAGGCATCGACTATCGCGATACGCCGAATCGTTGCTTCGTACATGGTACGTTCACATGGACTCTGTTTATTCGAGTTATTATCAAATTATTCAGCCTGGTTAAATGAATTCGTTGTACTTGAACTCGTTGTATGTACAAAAAAAAATTCAAGAGAGATTCAGTTATACAATTGTATAAATTTCAATGTTCTCTAGATATGATTGATTACTATCAATGAATGAACGCAAGAATAGATAAGAAAGAAAAGAGAGATAAGGCCTCTTAAGTGAATTTAATAATTCACTGCCACAAAATAATTGATATGATCGAGTCATGATTTCTTTAACTATGATTGAGCGATTCAGCGCAAGAAATTTGAACTTTGCAATCCTATATTTAGCGTGAGTAATTTTTTTATTCTGGAGTCTGGATATTCTGTCTGCTTGGATGCAATGTTTTTATCTCATTCGATGTGAAAGTAAATATAAATCTATCGAATACACAGTTTGAAAATAATTACAGATCACAATTAATTATAGATAATAAACATTCTAATGTGTACATAATAAATAATAATTACTCTCATATATCTTCATTTTTATCATTGTCTTCTCGTGATCCACATTTGAGTTTTTATATAATATATAGAAAAAATACGTGTGTAAAACAATTACAAATATTAGATAAAAATTCTGTGTAATATACAATAGTTCTCTCTAATATACAAGGTTCATCAAACAATAATTATTGAGGTATTATGAGGTACATAGGTACACAATCATAATTGAGATACTTATATTATTATATTATTATTATTATACAAGGACAATAACTAGTCATCAGAATACATCAGAGTTAATAAAAATCACTTTTTTCAATGTTCTTGTACTGAATTCCCTAATTTGGCCAAATTATGCAGAATTCTATCAAGTCTAGAAAGATTAAATTATATAATTAAATATTAATTTTACAATGATATAAAAAAATTAATTTACTATATAATAAATTTATAATAAATAATAATTTTGTGATCTTTATTTTGTCCAAATTTACCAACTCATAGGACAACTTTTACGTTATTTACAGTTGTTAAAACTACCAAGCTGAAGTTCCATTTTAGATTTGTTTATTTCACTATGCTGCTATAATTTATTGTTTATATTGCTCATTATTAAATAAAACAAAACATTGCAAAACAAAAGCAGGAACTAAAATATATCCAAGAGAAACGAAATTGCTTTTTTCTTTTTTAAATTACAATTTTCAAGCTAGACTTATTCAATTTCACATCATCGAGGGTTGATAGATTTCTGCACAATTTGGCCCAATTTTTCCTCTCTTTCTCTCTCTCTCTTATCGAATCATTTCGTGCAAATTATTTGTCCTAAAACGAGTTCGTTGTATACAGAGTTCTACTTAACAATCAAAATAAGGATTCCAAATCAGTTTCCAACTTAACAATCCGGCGAAGATTCCCATTCGCGTGACGACGAGCTCGTAAGTCGATTAAGTCACGACGACCAGCTGCGAACCTTGTACCCTTTGTACGCGAGTATCGTGTTCGGTAATCGGAGACAGTTAAGCAAAAATAATAGTTAGTCTTCAGCTTTTACTAATCCTGTGACAGAGCACGAAGAAGCCAAAGTTCTCGAGTGACGCGAAGCTAAGTTCGTACGATCGTCCCAGTGGTCAAGATCTCACTCTGCTTTGTCCTGCTCAGGGGTTCCCAGTTCCATCTTATAGGTATATAACAAATGTAATTGCTGGGCGTTGGTGTCTCGCAGCATGGTCTTGTGTCTTTGTATCATTCGATAGAACCGGTTGGTAGCAAAGCGCCAGCATTCACAGGCTCTTTGAAGGGTGGATGGATGGAGGCTAAAGGAGACATCAGTGTCGTGCTCTTCTGTCCCGCGCAAGGGTACCCTGTGCCGTCGTTTAGGTAACCGAGTCTTCCTTCAAGTATCCCTAATCGTATCATGCGCGCATCGATCGCTACATTGCAGTAGAACTGTAAGATTTTACGTTTTCACGCTGTAAATGGCGAGGAAGATTAAGAAGGGAATCTTTGTTTAAAGATGAGATAGACGTGAGCTTAGAAATCAATAAGTCCAACTCTCAATAGGAATAATCAGGGATCGAAAAAGTTCAGGAACTTTCAAACGAGTTCTACCCTGATGACATGGATCGTAAAAGATTTTTTTTTCGAAAAATGTTCTACGATCCATGTTCGAAATTTATTGAAAAGCTCCAAGTCCCGATGAGAACAGACAAATAAATACTCTTGGAAATGGTAGTTTCAGACAGAGTAGGATTTAACGAATTATAAAAATAAAAACTTTCCTATTTGGAACGTTTGTTCATCAATATTAAAAAGAAGAAAGTCCCAAAAGTAGCAAATATTGACACCGAATATAAAAATGAATTTTTTTATCAAACGTTCTAAGATAACTCGTTTTCTACCAAAGAACAGTTTATACACGAAATTGTATAACAATCATACAATCGTCAGTTGTATGTTAAATTAGACAATAGCCAATCCTGGATCATTCTTCGATGCTCTCTTCTGTTCCGTTTTTTCCCCTGACATTTATGTTTAATTCATGTTAAGAGTCCTATACGTCCAATCATCGACCAGAGGACTGGTATTGGCTTGATTCAGATTCACAAGAAAAAGTTGCAAATTATTGAAAAGAAGTGAATTTCGTTCTTCCGTCGGTAAAATCGAAAAGCGGTCGTCATGCAGACTTTTTCCCAATGCTGTGACAGAGCCGGTCGCCACGAAGAAGCCGAAGTTCTCGAGTGACGCGAAGAAGTCCTGGTACGATCGCGTCATCAGCCAAGATCTGACTTTGTTCTGCCCTGCTCAGGGGTTCCCAGTTCCATCCTATAGGTACACACACCTTTCAATTAATTATTGGACGTTAGTCAAAGAGCATGGTCTCGTGTACCTTTGTGTAATTCGTTAGAGCCAGTTGGCAGCAAAGCGCCAGCGTTCACGGGCGTTTTAAAAGGCGGATACATGGAGATTAAATCGCGCGCCAGCGTTGTGTTCTTTTGCCCCGCGCAAGGATACCCTGTGCCATCGTTTAGGTAAATCATGCTTCTTTAAAGTCTACTTGCATTGAACGTAGTAATGCAGCGCGGTGGTGTTTTAATAAAAACGAAAAAATCTGTTTCGTTTGATCTTCGTGGTCATTTCTGATTTGACATTAGATAAAATGTGCAAAACGTCTCGCGTTCATTGTTAATTTTGACGTTCGTCAGTGATAATAATAATAAATAAAATAGGAAACACTCAGTCAGAGTGAATTAATATTTATTAATCAATTCAATTATATTTGCATTTGTTTCTCTCATTTTTAGTTTTTTTTTTTTTATCAGAAAAATCTTGTCGCAACCCCCTTTAAATCACACGTATGTCGTGCATAAAATGGGCACGAATATCTTTTTAGCAGTTAGGTACCCATCTCAGTAGCATGATGTAATTCGTTGAAATTAGTGAAACGAAACGATGCATAGCAATTGGATAAGATATTCCAATATTGTTTCTTTCCAAAATCTTTCTTCTAATTAAGCAGGTAATTAAATTTCGAATTTTTGTTTAATAGAGATGTTTTTTCGTACGTCTTTTGAGGGGTGAATATAAGCTTCCATCCTTCAGCTTAATTTTCTGCAGTACATTGACATTGCACAATCTATCTTCAGACAGATTTATTTTGTAGCCAAACCTCTTCGAGATTTTCACTGAAAGAATACCAGATACTTAATTACAGTATAATTTAATTTCACTCTATTTATTCAAGTTTATTTATTAAAATTATTTACTCTAACAAAGCCAAACGGTCCTTGTTAAAAACCGAAATAAACTAATAAACTATACAATAAGAACGAATGTTTGGTCAGAAATGACGGAAAAGATCTCACGAAGGTTAAACTGTGTGAAAATCTCGACGTCGAATTTCGGTACGAAAAAGTGCGTGGTTTCGATCGATTCGAAAGAAGTCTTCGCCCTTTCTGATCCTGCGACAGAGCCGGTTGCCACAAAGAAGCCAAAGTTCTCGAGCGACGCGAAGCTCTCTTGGTACGATCGTGTCACCGGACAAGATCTCACTCTATTTTGTCCTGCTCAGGGGTTCCCAGTTCCATCCTACAGGTACATACAGGTCGTCTAATTGTAAGTTAATCGGCGAAGCGTTAGTCAAAGAGCTGACAGTGTGGCCTTGTGCCTTTGTATAATTTGTTAGAACCAGTTGGCAGTAAAGCGCCAGCGTTCACCGGCACGGTAAAGGGCGTATGGATGGAGAATCAAGCGGACACAGATGTCGTTCTCTTCTGCCCCGCGCAAGGGTACCCTGTGCCATCCTTTAGGTAATTCGTTCGTCCTCGAACCTCCATCGCGCTATTCGTATATAGGAGGAAAGCTGAGTCGTCTGTGTTTCTGTCGTTTCTTTCTATTGTTCTAGGTTATTGAACAAATTTGTTGCTTAATGAAGTCTTCACTATACCGAGGGTGATTTGATCCAGTGAATGAACACTTGGGACACATATTTGCACGAGTGTTGCTTCTTTTTGGCGTAATTCAACAAAAGAGTATAATCATATGTTCGTGCGACTTGTTGTATTGGTGTATCATTTTCTGAATGAACAAGGGAGATCTCTTGTTTTTGAGGAAGGTTGTAACAATTTTATAATAAGGTAGTAATAATTTCTTTAGAGCTGGAATTTTTTTTAGAAATTATTCGTACAATATTTTTTGTTAAAGGAATATCTAAATAACGTAATTATAAAAATTAACGTATAGATATAAATATATCAGGTAATAGTTTTACCTTGAAACTTGTAACACGTAACACGTTATGAGTACAATTGTTGAACGATAAAGAGATTGTGAATAGCAGAAATGAGTATGTCCATTGAAATTATTATTTAAAATTCAACATGAAGCATCATGTGACACAAAAGAAACATTTTTCTAAATAAAAAACAAATTTCTTTTAAAAAAATTGAATCGTTGATTTGTCGTTTTGGTATGAGCAAAACGTTCGTTCACTGATGGATGTTCATTCACTGAACAGATCATTCTACACGTATAATCGATTTTTAACTGAAATCTTTTTCCAACGAGAATGCCAACTCGAATAAAGTTTCGTTCAGGCTACAAACGACTCGATCTCGTTGACGACAAAACTATTTCTCATCCGAGAGTGTGACGTTCTAACGAGCAAGAGTTGCTCATTTAAACGTGCTACCATCGGACATTGCGCGGCATTGTTCGCCAATCGGTGGAAACTGAAGAGCACTTATTGGTCCAAATTGTTTCTATTATGTCGCCTTGGCCTTCTTTTCGTTTGCCCTCGTCCCGTGTTTGTCCCGTGCTTGGTCGGGGTTCCCCTCCCCCTTCCCTCATGTTCAAAGTGGAACAATTAATTCTACCTCGCTCATCGCGTGTGCATTGTTAGAACCGGTCGGCAGCAAAGCACCGGCGTTCACCGGAGACGTGAAGGGCGTTTGGCTGGAAAAAGGAGCTGGATCCAGCACCGTGCTACCGTGTCCCGCGCAGGGATATCCCGTTCCCTCCTTTAGGTAAAAGTGTCTTGCATTAATTAATACTTTGCGGTCCCTGGATCACGTTGGCACGATCCACTCGATAACGACATATCAAGTTTTACAAGTCTCAGAAGCTAAGTTTTCAAGAAGCTTCAACTCCTTGTTGTCCTATGTCGTTTCAATTTTCTTTGTCGATGCTATTTTTGTCGAGATGAAACAAGAGCAACGTCGTCGTATACTTTGACTCATGGTCATAGTTCATCGTTGGTGACTTCAGCACTCTCTTAGAATTTCTAGCGTAGTCTTATTTCTCACAAAAAAAAAAAAAAATTCAAAAAGTTAAAAATTTTGATTTACTAGTTGAATCATGGTTAGACGAGGAAGGCAACGCACAGCGACAGCTGATAATGAATTTGAAAGCGACGGCAGTGATATCGAACGTGAATTTCAATGAGTAGTTATTCAATATGATGGTCAAAGTGAGGAAGACTCGGATGAAATTATATCGGTCAATATTTACGATAAAATGTTATTTCATATAATCATCTATCTATAAATATGTCGTAGACTGTTGCCATTGGCATGTGTGACGTTTGATAATCTATGATACTGTTTCTGATTATGATGCGTATGATTTAGAGATGACTTCAGCTTTTACAACGCTTGGAATTTTGAGTAAAAATTCCAGTTTTCCGAGCTTATCTTTTTTCCTAGATTCGAATCTTATTTTAACAATCTGATTCCTACGTAGCGACAGTTACGTAAAAGTGAACGTGTGAGATGATTCCGATCGACGAGAAAAAGATATACATCGGAAACAAATTTTGGAATAAAATTTGTTCACTAAATGGTTTCGTTTCTGTTTTTCAAAAAACGAAAAATCACGTTGAGACATGATTATTTTACTTTGACTTATTAAAGTTTATTTAGAAGGATATTCTCAATCAGAAGACGTCAATTCTTAAGCTAATAATTTTGTTGGATGGAAAATACTTAAGTAATTACAGATCAAGGATTTCGAAATCTGTTTGATGTTGTGTTTCAAGACAATAGAGTGTAATTTTTGTACAACGATTTTCGATATCTGTGTCATTTTCAACAACTATCACGATTTATTGTATTCGTCTGAAAGGAAAAGATGGAAAATGAATTTGATCTATACCTTGTAAACTAGAAATATATCATTAATTTCTTCTCTATTGCCTGAAGAAGTTGTACATTTACTGAATTTTTGCCTTATACAGTTGTCATTTTGTTGAAAGAATTTTTGTTCTATTCCACTTTATTCCAGTTTACAAGACAGATGTTATACAGATTAAATCCATCTTCGTGGAACACAGCAATGCAAATCGTTGCAATCGTTGAAAGCGACAAACTGCGAGAAAACGTAATTGAGATAATTGTACAAAAAAGTGCACATATTATTTTGAGGCATGATCACTTGAATAACAATTTTCTGTTCTACAAATTATTTAAACTCGACATTGTTCCAAAGTAAATTAAATTACAATGACATAGTACAAATATAAATATAATGCAAATCACTATAATTTACCTTAAAATTAATTTACTTAAATCATAAAGATTTACACGTAGAACATTTCGATACGTAATAAAATCCGATCGCCCTAGTTTTGAACCGTGCTTTATTTCCAGCGGGCAAGTCAGCATTGTTAAACGTCGTTGAAACAGGCAGAATGCCTTCAACGGGCCGTAAAGTGTTAACCGTTGAAATCAGAAAGAAACGCGTCGTTTTGTTAGTCGATCGCGGTAAGCTCGATCGAAGGAATACCTTCGCGAAGAGAAAGCGCTTCGAGTTCAGACAGTTTCCGTCGGTTTACTTTCTCCGCGGACGACGTTCATTGCACTTGCACTTGCGATTCTTTGATCCCTTCTAATTTAGGGGTTCCCTGTTCCGTCCGACCAATTACGTGGCTGTAACAACGAGTGCTGTTGCCAGCTGGCAAGCATTATATCTTGCTCACGGTTTCCTTCTTTTGCATTTAATTAGAGCCAGTCGGCAGCAAAGCGCCAGCGTTGATGGGGATCGTTAAAGGAATAATGTTGCAAGTCGGGACGAAGACAAGTGTCGTGATATTCTGTCCAGCGCAGGGCTATCCCGTGCCTTCGTTTAGGTAAATCTGTAAATTCTATACGAGAATGGAGGAAACTTATGCACATGTATACTCTAACATCTGTCTCTCCTTACGCGCCTTCCAGTGGGTAATTAATGAAGCACACTGAACGTCGTGACTAAATCAAATAATCTGTGTACTCTTCTTCGTTACTTACACCACTCTCTTGTTCTTATTGTCACTTGGTTAGAAGGTTCTTACTAACTCGTTGGTACAAATTCGTGTCGATCGCAAGAATTTCTCGGTCGCATGTACATGTTGTGAACAATGTGACAAATTCGTTATCCTTAGATTATTGTGCATTTATGGAATTTATTTGCAGTTGCAGGAAACGTATATACATCTGAAGTAGAGTGTTTCTTGTAGTACGTAATAAGATAAAACAGATTTCTATTTAAATTTTATTTCTTAAAAAAGAAAAAAGAAAATAAATTTAAAAATCCGTAAAATATTTTAATTATTATGTTTGACGAACATTACTGTTTTTGTTATGTTTGATCAAGCGTGTTGCCTCTGGGCAATTTAAGTAAGATTTTTAAATAAAATAAATAAAGTAATTTGCGAAAATTTCACTTACAAATCAGTATATTTTTGAAAACAGTAAGTACCTATTATTAACTGTATTGTGAATGTTAATGAAAAGTATTATTTAAGACGATTGTATAATTCTATTATAGTTCGTTATATTGACGATTACGATGAAACGACAGAAACGGAGCACCAGACTAAACTGGCAACTAGCTACCGCTGGCTGACGATTTATTTAACAGTTTAAACAACAAAAATGGAGCACCAGAGTAAACTGTTAATTAGCTAGTTTCCGCTGGCCGGTGATTTATTTAACTCGATAGCGATAGTTCCCTTCAAAAGTAAAAGAAACATCTCAATTTCGTCGTTAGTCCTGATATTATACCGATCAGATTTATCACATTGTTCATGCACAACGTATGCGTGAAATTCGTAGAACCGATCGGGACGAAGGCGCCGGCGTTTACGAGCGAATTAAGGGGCGGTTGGCTGAGGAAGAGAGCGAAGTCCAGCGCCGTCCTGTCGTGCCCGGCTCAGGGGCACCCTGTGCCCAGTTTTAGGTAAAGAATCGAATCGTTGAACAATACGTTTCACCTGCGAGCGAATACATTGCACTGTGCGTGAAATAGAACCGGTCGGAAGCAAAGCGCCGGCGTTGACGGGCGACTTGAAGGGTGGCTGGAAGGAGAAGGCTCACGACTCGACAGTCGTTTTGTTCTGCCCGGCGCAGGGTTATCCCGTGCCCAGTTTTAGGTAAACTTCCCTTTGTGAAAATCTCGCGTGATTTGATGACGTGCCTTGTTAGATCCCATCGGTAGCAAAGCACCGGCGTTGATCGGTGAAATGAAACGCGGTTGGAAAGAGACCGGCGCCCCGTTCAGCGTGGTGTTGACGTGCCCCGCGCAGGGATATCCTGTACCCAATTATAGGTAAACCGATATTCGATTATTCGTTCCGACGCACCACACACGTTTCGTTTCCCCGATAGAACCGGTTGGTAGCAAAGCACCGTCCATTCTCGGGGAGAAGGGAAGTCTCATGGAGAGGCGCACCGGTATGCACATCGTGGTATTCTGTCAAGGGCAGGGTTACCCCGTTCCATCGTTCAGGTAAATCGTGAATCGAGATGCTTTCGTTCTTGTGAGACAACGTGCTTGGTTGGTAATCGATATTAGTTGAGGCTTAGAATTTTACAGTTCAGGTGTCTACTTCTGACGTTATCATATCCTATCCTATTATTTCATCAGATAAGTCGAGACTCGAGAAGCTCTCGTTTTTTTATAAAATAACATGTGTTTAGTAATCGATTTAGAATTTTATTAGCAGTTTAGATGTGTTTCTTTTTGGATCTTATTATTCCATCATTCAGACAAATCGAGACGCTTTCGTTAAACAAAAACGTTTAATCGATGTTAGTTGAGATATAGAATTTTACGAGCAGTTTGGTTGCGTTCTTTTTTCTTGGTTTGTCTCTTGTACATTATAATTTTCATCGTTCAGATAAATCAAGGATCAAGGGACAGTCTTTGTTTTTACGAAACAACGTGTTCAGCAATCGACGCTGAGGTTGAAATTCAGAAAATTACGATGCGTTTCTTGGGCTATGATTTTTGGAGAAAAGACACAAACACCCGGTACATACAAAGACTTTCGGCTTTTGAAATAAATAGAATTTCCCGTAACTATCAAACATCATCGTATGCATAGAGTCAGAGATTTTCCAACCAGACCCTGTTCCATCGTT